CCCAAGACGGTCCTTGAGGGCCCCGAATCGCCAAGAGTATCGGTTCAAGACGCCGCAGTAGCCTCCAGACTGACTACCTACCAGACCCCAACCCAACCCGAAGACCCGAATTTCGGGTTGGGGGGGGTACGGGCTTCATGTGTGTTTTCTCGACGTTCCCCGACCCCCCCCAACTGGAAATGGAGGGCAAATTCGGGCCTTCGGGTTGGGTTGGGGTGGTTTGGTGGGTGGTGACAGACGGCTCAAGAGGTTTTCAAAACGCCCCGAGAGGCCTCCAAGAGCACTCCCAGGAGGACCCCCAGGGGCAAAAATCAGAGACCGCCCCCTCGGTTTTCGAGAGGAACTGGCGCTCTCGCCCTGCCGGCTCCCCGACGCTCCAAGGCAGCCCGAGAGGCCCCCGAGATCGCCCAAGGGGCCTCCAACAGTGCTGAATCTCAACGATGGGATTCGCTTTCGTTTTGTTTTCGTTTTCCCTGGTTTCGTCTTCGATTCTCCTTCACCGCAAAAAGACATCGAAACGAAAACGGCCCACGAAATCGCCCAAACACCGTGTAGGTCCAGCCCCGGCCTCCAAGAGGGCCCCAAAGCGACCCGAGAGGGCCCCGAGACCGCCCGAGAGGACCCCAAGACAGCCCGGAAGGCAACCCAGACGGCTCCAGTGAAGGAGACCCGCCAGGGTCCCCGAACGAACACGTCGGGCCCTCGGCTGGAAGAGGCTCCCAGGAGGCCTCCAGGTGCCTTGGGGCCCCCACGAGGCTCCCACGAGGCCCCCTAAGAGCTTCCCAAGAGGTCCCCAAACTGCCCCCAAGAGGTCCCTGAGAGCGCTCGTCGTCGTCGTCGTCGTCGTCGTCGTCGTCGTCGTCGTCGTCGTCGTCGTCGTCGTCGTCGTCGTCGTCGTTCAGCGTCGGCAGCACCGGCGGTAAGGCATCTCGAATCATTGATGCCCATTACTGGTGGGACCCCCGTCCGTCAAAAAGGTCGCCGAAAAGATGGTTAGTTCCCAAGGGTTGGGGGGTTCTAGAAACCTAGAAGGCTTAACTCAGATGAGCTCGACACCCCACGCACACACTACAGTCAAAAACCCTAATAATGACGCGCGGTAAGGACGCAAGACTCTTGCAAGCCGAAGTTGGATTTTTTGGGGCGGCGGACAAAACCTCAAGGACGCAAGGGCAAGGAAGAGCAAGGACACAAGGGTACCCTGAGCAAAGTCGCGCGTCCTTATCCGGGTTTTTGACTGCATACATGTGCGATGCGTGCGCGCGGCAGCCCCACGATGTGCAGGCGGGAAAAAGGGGCGAGGGGAGGCCCACGGTCCGTTGGAGCACACGGCAGTAACAGACCCCGCTCGTTGGACTGCAACTGCGTGCGCGCGGGTCTGGCAACGCACAGTGCGCACGGGTTCGGATGTAGACTTGTTTTCTCTCTCCCTCTCTCTCTCTCTCTTTCTTTTTTTTTCCGCTAGACAGCGTTGCTGTGGGACGTGCTCGCATTAAGCACGAAGGCGGACACATCCCAGCCAGGATGGTCCGCTCGTTTTGTGAAAATTTTGAGCGGTCCGCTGGCCTGCCCGCGCACCGGTCACCGCACGCGATCGCAGACGGATCGAGAACTCCAACCTTCGGATGAGATAGACATCGGCCCGACCTGAGGAACGAAACATACGGAAGAAACCCCCTTTTCTCAGGAGTACCGCAGAAGGAACGACATAAAAAACGCGGCTACAGGCTCATTTGGGCCCCCTGCGTTGTTTTGGAAAAATCAGCATACCGTGTTCCACCCCCTTTCTCATATGCATCTTTCTCTCTCCTCTCTTCCTCCTCCTCCTCCTCCTCCTCCTCCTCCTCGTCCTCCTCCTCCTCCTCCTCCTCCTCCTCCTCCTCCTCCTCCTCCTCCTCTTCCCAATCGGATTCCATTAGCGGGGGCGGAATCCAGCAGAACCCGGGGGAAAAAACAAAAAAAATCCTGACCAGAGATTCGGGGGGTGGGGGGGGGGGAAGGTCTCCTCAGGATTTGTTGTTGTTTTTCCAAGGGTTCTGCTGGATTCCGCTCCGATACTGGAATCCGATTGGGAAGAGGAGGAGCAGAAGGAAAAGGAGGAGGAGGAGGAGGGAGGAGGAAGGAGGAGGAGGAGAAGGCGGGGGAGGAGGAGGAGAAGGAGGAAGAGGAGGAAGAGGAGGAGGAGGAGCAGGAGGAGGAGGAACAGGAGGAGGAGGAGGAGGAGAAGGAGGAAGAGGAGGAGCAGGAGCAGGAGGAGGAGGGAGAGGAGGAGGGGGGGGAGGGGGAAGAAAAACGAGGAGGAAGAGGAGGAGGAGGAGGGGGGGGGGGGGAGGGAGGGAGGAAACGCGAGCAGGCACGCCGCACCTCGACCGAGGCTCAAGCAGCTCGCGGCGCGCTCGCGCCGACACCGCGCCCTTCGCCCCGCCCCGCCACCCCCTCTGGCATGGGGAACCCCAAGCCAGGAACGGCCGCCCACGCGAAGAAGAAGGCGCGCAACGCCGCCTACAACGCCCGCGAACGCGCGGAGAAGAAGGCCGCCGCCCTCGAGGCGGTGGTCGAGTCTTACACGAGGAAGATCGCGCGGCTGGAACACAGGGTGGGCGGATAGACAAACCTGACGGTGCGCACGGTGCGCAACGTGCGTGCCTTGTGCGCAGTGTGCGTGCGCCATGTGCGCGCGGTGTGCCAGGTGCGCGTTGTGCTTCATGCGTGCAGTTTGCGCCGCCCCAGGTGGACTTGGTGCGCGACCACAAGCAAGACTTCTGGGAGCAGCTGCAGAAGACGAAGGACTTTCAGAGGGGGGGCACTTCGCAAAGCGACAGACAGAGAAACCAACCGCCCCTAGGAGGAGCTGAAGGAGACCCAGAAGCAGCTGAAGGAGGAGAGGCGCGCCCGCGAGAGAGCGGAGAAGGAGCGCGACGACGCCAAGCGCAGGCTCTGCTCCTTCCAGACTTGGTGGAGCGTCTTCCTCAAGTTGTGCTTGCAGGACTGCGCTGGGGGAAGGGAAGGCGCGGGCAAGCAGGGTAGGGGGCGGCCTCAGGAGCTGCCGAAGACCTGGGCCACGGAGGTCAAGCACTGGTCTGAAAGCGGAGTGAGGCACTTGCGCTGGCTGTGGTGGTGCAACGAGAACGGGGACTAGCGCAGAGACAACAGCGCGCAGCGGGGCGCGGGAAAGAAAACCGCTCGCGCGGGACGGGGGCGGGCTGGCGCGCAGGGGCAGCAGCGCAGGGGCAGGGGGGCAAGGGAAGCGAGGGAGGAGGAGAAGCAGGAGAAAGAGGAGGAGGAAGAGGGACTGGAGAGAGGAGGCGGCGGCTGCTTTTCAGGGCATCCTCAAAAAAGGATGCCCCCCTCTAGCGGACGTGAGCGCGGACCGCAGCGATGACGGTGCACATGTGCATCGGTGCCGACGCTAGGAAAGGAGGATGAGGCCGGCGGAGGGGGAGGAAGGGGAACGGAAGGAGGGATAGGAGCAGGAAAAGGAGAAGGAGGAGGAGCAGGGGAGGGACCCAGGAAAAGACAACTATGCCGTACTATGTTATGCTGTGCAGCGCAACGCAACGCAATGCTATGCTACGCTTGGCTCTGCTACGCTATTTGCGCGATGCTACGATTGGCAATGCTATGACTTGCTTCTCTCTGTCGCGTGCCAGACGATGTGACCCAGCAGATGGCTTACTACGTTTGCCCCGAAGGGATCCTCAAAAAAAGGATGCCCCCCTGCTGACGAGGAGACGTTTGAAGAGGGCGTCGAGGAGCACATGGCCAGGAAGATGGACTCTGGGAGCATGTTCGCAGACCAGCTCGGCGGCGGCCAGCGCAAGCGCCCCGCTGCTGCGAAAGCTGCGCCGAAGCGTCGGGCCAAGCGCTCGGCGAAGAGTCGTCCAGCCCAGGCGGGCGTCAAGAAGCGGCCTGCCATGAAGCGCCCCGCGCGGTCCAGGCTCCCTGCTTCCCGAACCAGGAAGGTCATCCTGCAGGTGGACGAGTCCTTCCTGAACAAGGGCAAGCTGTCCAAGCTGGCGAAGAACGCAAGGCCGAAGAAAGACAAGCTATGGCTTTGGGGCGCCGTCGTGCAGGGTTCGCCGCACCTGTTCTTCTTCAAAGTATTGAAGTCTGTCGAGGATGCTTACGACGGCAAGCCCAAGGGCAAGCAGGAGCTGCTGGAGAACTTCGAGGAGCTGTCGCCTCCCGCTGGCGTCGTCATCGTCTCGGACAAGTGGAGGGGGACTATCGCGGCTGTGAAGCAGTACCGCAATGACGCTGGCCACACCGAGCGGATGCTCCCGCACGAGGTAGTGAACCACAGCGCTGGCGAGATCACGAACGAAAGAGGTTCACTACCAACCAAGTAGAGCTCCAATGGTCATTGGTCAAGCTGTGGATCAAGATGCGCTACGGCGGGACGTTGCCCAAGAAGGCCGACAGGAAGAAGTGGTCGAGGCTCCTTGCCGAGCACAGGTTCCGCACCCACATCAAGGCCAGTGGGCAGAAGGTGAGTTTCGCGGCGCTGGCAGCTGCGTCCCAGGCGTGGTGATATGTCTAGAGCGTTGCGCTTGCCATATAGTAGCGATTTATACGTTCAAAGCATTGGGTACTTTTTCCAGCGGAGCTTGAGCTATGTCGGGGAAGAAGGGCCCCCCCGCGCGAACGCCATGCCGCACCACCCCGAGCCGATGCAGAAAACATATACCGCTGTCTCGCTCATCGTCGTCGCTTAACGGTTGCCGCCGACGTTGCCGACGTTGCAGTTGACGCTGCCGCGCTCCATGCAGTTTTTCCTTAAAAACGCAGGGGGGCCCAAATGAGCTTGTAACCAACGCCGCATAACGAACGAGAGGTAACGCCTGCAAGCCAAAGGAGCAACCGAGCCCCTTTTGAAAAGTAAGCGTTCCTTATCCAAGCCGCTCACTGTATGAAAATTGGGTGGGTACTTCCGGCATCGAGCTGAAGAGCGCCACGGCAGGCCTACCTGGCGTGAGTGCGCCGAGCGCCACTGGAAGCATTCACCAGCCTCTGGCCAGTCCCTGGCCGTAAGACTGCCAGACCCACAGTTTCAACAGGTGCACGGCGAAGCTGGGGGGGCGGGGGCGGGGGCATCGAGGCCGGCGCTGGCGAGGCCATGCCAATCCTCTCGGCTACGCGAGGCGGGGATACCATTTTTGCTCGCGAGCGCAAGCGGAAGGGCCGCGCGCCGTCCAAAGCTACAGCCAACAAGCAGGAGCCCAAATCGCACACGAGAGAGAGAGAGAGAGAGAAGCCTTTCGGATGCGCGAGGCGGGGATGCATCGAGATTCACCGCCGGTGGAGCCGACGTCCCAGGCCCCCAGCGGGCGGTGGGCACAGATATATCTTGGGCCCCGCATCCGCCGCCTGCCGAGGCCTTCGGAGATCTGGCCTCCAGGCGGTGGCTCCCCAGAGGTCGAAGGCATTGAAGACATCACGACGGAGGCGTCTCGCTATTTTCGGCCTCTGGGGGCCCTCGCCGGGCCAGGACCGTCAAAAAACGACTCGGGGTGAAAAACCGGTCATGGGAAAGGGGTGGAGACTTCCAGCGACCCCGCATGGAAAAAAGCACGGCGTCGGATCTCTGGGTCTGTGTACATCTCCGCCTCGCATGGGCAGGACTGTGTTGCTGAAGGGGCCCTGAGACACACAAATAAATACACACAAATAATGAGATGTCCCACATTTTCCCATATGTTCTGGGCTCTTGTCTTCCGCCCCCACTTCCCATATTTTCCTATATTTTCTGGGGAATCGAGGATTCATTGTGTCTGTGTGTTTTCCCCTCCTGAGTTGCAGCTGGGCCGCGCAGGACACGGCCCCAGGCCAGGAGAACCACGCACCTCGGCGGCGCCCTGGCCAACTGTGCGGCGCGGGCCCAGCCGTGGCCAGCCGCCCAGGGGGCCCCCCGAAGAGGAGCTGCAGAGGCACACAGCAGAGGAGGAGGAGGAGGAGGAGGAGGAGGAGGAGGAGGAGGAGGAGGAGGAGGAGGAGGAGGAGGAGGAGGACGAGGAGGTTGAGGAGGAGGAGGAGGAGGAGGAGGAGGAGGAGGCCTCCTCGAAGTTCGAATCTCCTCCAGTCGACCAGAAGCCGCTCAACATCCGTCCGTGGGACCCCCCCGGGGGCCCGTCCTGGAGGCCCATCCTCGCAAACTCACGCACGTCCCGGACCAGCTCCTGCCGGCCCCTGGGCCTCAGACGGGCCTCCAGGAGGCCGAAACGACGGAGCAACAGTTATCCTGGCGAAGGACGCAACCACAAATTCGCCGGCCCAACGGGCCAGGGCGTGCTAAGATCTCCGGTACCTGGTTAACAGTATTTCTAGTTCGCGCGCGCGGGGCGGCCCCTGGGGGTCCCCGGACGAAAAGTACCCCGGCAAGGTCCCGGCAAGTCCCCGTCCCGGCAAGGTCGGGTCAGAGATGCCGGAGTTCTGTTTCGGAGTCCAAGAGGGCTCCAGATCGGTCCAAGAGGGCCCCGAGAAGCTTTCTAGACGGTCCAAGAGAGGCCCGAGACGGCCAAAGATCGCCCGAAGACGCCCCAGATGGCCCCAAGACAGCCCAAGAGGCCTCCAAGACGCTCCAAGGGCCTTCCAAGAGGCCTCCGAAGAGGGCCCCAAGTTGCCAAAATCGTTGATTTTCATTGGTTTTTTCTATGTTTTTTTGCGTTCTGGCCTTTTCGCTTCCGGACGCTCCAAGAGGGCCCAAGAGGCCTTCAAGACTGCTCCAAGACGGCCCACGAGGCTCCCAAGACGGCCCCGGAGCGGCCCAAGAGCGCCCCCCAGACGGCCCAAGTGCTGCCCAAGGCGGACCAAGAGGCCCCAAGACGGGCCCAAGAGGGGCTCAAGAAGGGAACCGAGAACTGAAAAATCGAGCCCTCCGCCCCAGAAGGCGCCCAGGACCCCGAAAGAGGCCCCAAGAGACTCTCCAAGACACCCCCAAGACGCCCCAATAAGCTCCCGTGAGGCCCCAAGAGGACCAACAACGTCAGGCCCCAGGCCCCAAGAGGACCAACAAATACCGCCAAGAGCCCGCCGAAAGCCCCCCAAGAGACCGTCACGAGAGCTCAGGAGGCCCCCTGGAGGCCTCCCGAGTTCTCCAAGAGGCCTAAAAAGAGGCGCCAAGAGGCCCCAAACGGCCCCACCGAGGCTCCAAGAGGCCACGAACGCGCAAGCAAACGCCTGCGATGGCACAATACGGGCCGGCGGAATGAGCGAAGCGATTAAATAAATACACACAAAGCCCCGGATTCCCCCTGATGTTCTGGGTTCTCGTCTCCCCCCTCCCCATACTTTCCCCATAGTTTTTGGAGTCGAGGATGACTTGTGTCTCTGTGTGTGCTTCCCCTCCTGGCACGCGCATGTGTGCGTGCCGCCTTCGGTGGGCCCCCACCCTGTTGGGCCACGAGGCATGTGAGGGAAGGCGGACGCGGAGGAGGAAAAGCACGAGGAGGAGAAGGGAGAAGGAGGAGGAGGGGGAGGAGTAGGAGGAGGACGAGGACGCGGAGGAGGAGGAGCAGCAGGAGAAGGAGGAGGTGGCGGAGGAGGAGGAGGAGGAGCAGGGAGCATGGAGCAGGGAGGAGGAGGAGGAGGAGGAGGCTGAGGAGGAGGAGGAGGAGGAGGAGGAGGAGGAGGAGGAGGGAAAGGAGGAGGAGTCGGGGGCGAGGGCGCCATGCGGACCCGGATGCGAGGACCCGCCCCCCTCCACCGCCACCCCTCGGGGGCCGAGGCCGCCCGCGCAGCCCGCGGGTGCTCGGCGCGGCCGCCCGAGAAAAATCGACGGGGCAGCTCGCGGCCCCGGCGACCTCTGCGAGGGCCCCTCCTCGGGGGCCGTCGGGGAGCCTCGGCCCGGGCGATCCGGCCGGCGTCGCCCTGGAGTAGGCCGCGGACACATGTCGAACAGCAGTCGAAACGTGTCCCCGAATAGGCCAAACAGAATCCACAACATCGTCCCCCGACAGATCTCTACTACGCTCGAGTCTTCCTCCTGTAGGGGGGGGGCCGTGCCCGACGGAGCCTGGGGGGCAGGGCTCCGGCCACCGCAGGGGGGAACGAGCGGAAGGAGGAGGTGAGCAGGAGCAGGGCGGGAGGCAGGAGGCAGGAGGAGGGCGCTGCGCGAGAGAGGAGGGGCCCCGAGGGCGGATCGGGGGCCCCCTCCCCGTTGGGCCAACGGATAACAAAAACGCTGGCATCGCGCGCGCTGTGTCACAGAAAGTGCATGCGCTGAACAAAAAGAAACAAGCCAGAGAGGGGTCCCAGACACCCCCCCGCCCATGCCCGCACAGCGTCTGAGGCGAAACGCGCTGTGCCCACCGTTCCCAGGGGGGAATCATCTTCCCACCAATTGGCGGTCGGGGAGCTTCTGGCCCGGGGCAATCCAGACCCGGGCCAGTCAGGCTTTGAAGAATCCTGCGAACTCCTGCAAGCTCCTGCAACCAGGCCCGGGTCGATTCGAAGGAGCCCGCAAGATTCTGCAGGATCCTGCACCCAAGCCCAGGTCAATGCGACCCTGGCCCTGCAAGATCCTGTAAGACCGGGCGCTCTGGCTGACCCCCCGGCCTTGACCCCCGTCTCGAGGCTCCCGGGGCGAACAAGGCACAGAATCGCCGGCGAAACGGGGGGTCCCAGATCCAGGCGTAGTCGCCGGATCGAAAGATAAAAAAACTGAAAAACACAAGGTCGGGAGCCCTCGACCCCCCACCACCATGTCGGGCGTTGGCAGAACTGGGTTTAGTGGAACTTGGTTTAGTGATGTGTACTGGGGGAGGCCCCCCCGCCCCGTTCCACTGACAGGAACTGCCGTCACCCGAAAAACACCAGCTGCGGCAGACACGGTTTAGTCATTCTCGCCAATTCAAGGGCCCCGGGGCCCCACCGCTAACCGGGTCCCCTTACCCGGGGTCCTGGCTATACCCCAACATGGTACGATCCTGGGCCGCCCGCTCCACCAGAGAGATCGCGCAGATCCGGTGGGGCCCCGAGGCCCTGGGCGGAGGGCCCCAGAAGCCCAGGGGCACGGGGGGGATAGGGCGGAGGGCTGGGAGACGGCGCCAGAGGGAAGTGGCCAGGAGGAGGAGGAGGAGGAGGAGGAAGAGGAGGAGGAGGAGGAGGAGGAGGAGGAGGGTGAATGGGGGGATGGGGAGGGCTGGAGGAGGGTGAAGCGTCATAGAGGTGGCGGTGAACGTGGGTGGATGGTACAGGAGCTGAGGCGGAGGTTGTCAGATGCCAACAGGATGACCACCTCTATAATTTCGCGGGGGGCCGGTCCCAGATCATGGTCATGGGGGGGCTGTCCTGGTAAGAGACCGTGCCGCTGGTGCCTTCGGTGGAGCTCCTTGTTGGACCACGAAACGTGGGAAGGGTGTGCCGAAATGGGGCTGGCCACGAAATGCGGACCCTGCCCTGGAACCTTTTGGTGGAGCGGCCACGAAACATGTGAGGGGTGTGCCGATTGGGGGCGAACACGCTATTCGGACCCTGCCGCTTGGGCCTTCGTTGAGGTCCGTGCGTGGCCACTAGGCGTGTGCGGGGGGTGAGCCGACATGGGTAGGATGGTGGCCCCTCCCGCTGGGGCGTTCGGTGGAGTATGGGGTCACGAGAAGTGTGAGGGGTGTGCCGACATGGACAGGTGGCAGAGGCGAGATGGGAGGGGGGGAGGACGAATGAGTGAGTGAGACGCGGGGAGCTGCTGTTTCAAAAGGACGACCAAACACCACATGATAAGTTCGATCGGGCAAATGCTCCTACAGGTGTATTTTGAAGGGATAATCAAAAACGTTCCAAATATATTTATATAATCATAAAATATAATTATAGAACCACAAATAGTTGAAACATTGTCCCCGAACTATTTCTGAACTATTTTGTGAACTTTCCCCCTTTAGAGGGAATACCCGACTTAACAATAATTGCGCAAACGAAACTGGACACTCGAGGCTCGAGGCTTGCCCCCTCCTCCGGTCCTCCCTCCGCCCCCCCACTCCCTGGTTCGTCCTGTGCCCCCTGGGCCGAAGCCAGGAGTGCTTCTGATCCCTCCGGCCCTTCTTCCCCCCTCCCCCCCCCCCCTTTCCCTCCCCCCTCCCCTTCCCTCCGTCCTCCCTCCCCCCCCCCCCTTCCCCCCTCCCCTCCTCCCTCCTTCTCTCCCTGCTTCCTCGATCGATCGATGGTGGGCGGGCAAAAAGCAGATCCATGGCACGCCGCCTCGGGGAACCATCAGCGTCGGGCAATCGGACACATGCGACGGAGTAACACGCTTGAGGGCGTCCCGCGTCCGCGAATCACTGAATGTTTTTTTTTCCCGCCCGAAGCGGATGGGCGGCGACACGATCCGTAATCATCCACGGACTCGTGGTCTGTATCCGGGGGCGCGATCCCGCGGATACACAATCGCACGGGCACCTTCCGCGCAGGGCATCCGCGAACAAAAAACGCTTCGTATCTAGAAAAAGAAAAACAGCATAAACACGGTTTTCTTGGATCTGCGCTGGGCCCCCCTCCCTGGCGCGCGGAGCGCGCCAGGGGCGGCGCCGGAGGGGGCCCAGCGCCGGTGGGGGGGGGGCCAGCGCGGATCCAAGAAACCCGCGCGGAGCGCCAAAAGTCCATGATCATTGCGTTTTTCTTCTGCGAACTCCGTAACTATCCGCGTTGTCGGGCCCAGGGGCCAGGCTTAGTAGGTCGGGCATGTCCCCCGACAGGCGGAGCTTGGACGACAAATCAACAAAACTTTTCAACATACTCAGCAAGTCTAATCGAACAATCATCGACACATCGTCCCCAGACTATTTTTAATACTATTTTTGAACATTCCTCCTGTAGAGGGACATGCCCGACTTAGGCCAGGCCCGCGAGGCCGCGGATACGGATACACTCTTCGCCCACGAGCAGCGGATCCTGGGGCCCGCGCCGCAGGTGCGCCAGCGCCAAGCGGTGCAGGACCTCCTCGCGGCTGAAGCCGGCCTCCAGCAGCTCGTCCAGGAGCCTGGCGCCCTCGGCAACCTCGCTGGGGCTGCACGGTTCCCCCCGGGGACGTCGGCGACCCGAGGAGAAGGAGGAGGAGGAGGAGGAGGAGAAAAATGAGGAGGAGGAGGAGGAAGAAGAGGGGCAAGGGAGGAAGAGGAGGGGGGAGGAGGGGCTGCCGGGCAGGAGGGGCGGGCCCCCAACCACTCGTGCCCGTCCTCCTCGTCCTGCTGGTCGCCCTGCCGTCCGTCGTCTCAACGTCGTCCTCCTCCTCCACGTCCCCCTCCTCCTCCTCCTCCTCCTCCTCCTCCTCCTCCTCCTCCTCCTCCTCCTCCTCCTCCCCCTCCTCCTCCTCCTCCTCCCCCTCCTCCTCCTCCTCGTCCTCCTCCTCCTCCTCCACGCCCCCGATGCCTCTCCGTCTGCCTCCTGCCCCTCTGGCCCGTCCTCCTCGTCCTCGTCCTCCCCGTGCCGACGCAATTCCTTACTGGGTAACGGGGAAAGCCCAGGGGATGCAAGTGGCGCCACAAAGAGTCGTCTGAACTCGAAGAGCAGCCCCGAAGACCACTTTATCCAATGCGTGGCCGTGACACAGTGGCCTGAGACCTCATGCCATCACATTCAGGGCAGGTGCGGCCCTCCCAAGAAAAGGTAGGGCCGCACGGGCCTCGGGCAACCGCATCTTGCGCCTGAAGCAAAAATGCCCATCCGCCCTCGCATTGATGGATTTACTGGGCATAAGTAACCTTGGTCCGCTTCAGTGGCCGCGGGACAGCCGTATTGCAGTTGAGGGCGCGGCACTCTCGCCGTTGACCGAATTCAGTAGGCGCCGTATACCGTATTGGCCTGGGCGCCATTGCCTATCCCGCATTTGCATCCGCTCCCCGTACCTAGAGCTAGGATGCCCATCCCCGTTGATGGACACGTATGGGCATCCCCCTACCCATGTCCGTGGACAGGCGCCGGCATCCGAACCCTTGTGCCTGAAGCTCGGATGTCTACCCCTGTCTAAACACAGGCATGGACATCTTATCCTCGCAATGAGGATGCTGCCCAGCCACCCTCGGGAGGAACGAAAGGGGGGATAGCAAAGGGTAGGGTAGAGAATCAGCTCACGTAGCTGATTTTCCCAGCGCCTCCCGGCGCCGGGAGGCGCTCATGTATCGAGGAATGGGCCCGGCGGCGGGACCGAAACCAGCTGCATGCAGCAGATGACGGAAAGCGCACGTTAGCGTGCGGTCCGTTAGTCGGAAGAAATTGGACTTGGGGGAAATCGAGGGGGGTGGCATCGCCGGGCCCGGATGACGGAAAGCGCGCGTTAGCGTGCGGTCCGTTAGTCGGAAGAAATTGGACTTGGGGGAGTTCGAGGGGGGTGGCATCGCCGGGCCCGGATGACGGAAAGCGCGCGTTAGCGTGCGGTCCATTAGTCGGAAGAAATTGGACTTGGGAGAGTTCGAGGGGGTTGGCATCGCGGGCCCCGAGATCTAATTGCCCTCCCGCCTCGTTTTTCTTATTGAGTAGGACGGCCTTCGGGGCTTAAAAACAGCGTTTCGCCCGAGGCATCATCGGAGAACGCTTCTTGGGCGCTTCTTGGGCGCTTCTTGGGCGCCTAAGACAGCCCAAGGAGCGGCCTCGGCGGCGCCCAAGACGGCCCAAGACGGCCCAAGAAGCGCCCAAGACGGCCCAAGAGCGCTCCAAGAGAGCCCAAGACCGCCCAAGGCGGCCCCAAGACGTCCCAGGAGGCCTCCACGACGCCCCAGGAGGCGCCCACGAGGCGCCCCAGAGGGCCCCAAGAGGCCAAAATCATTGATTTTCTTAAGGAAAACGTGCATTTTTAGCATATACGGATTTTCGCCTTTCATGGCGTTGAAGACGGTCCCAGAGGCCCCCAAGACCGCCCCAAGACGGCCCAAGATGTTCCCAAGAGGCCCCCAAAATAGCCCAAGAGGGCGCCGAGACGGGCCAAGAGGCGTCCAAGACTGTCCAAGAGGCCCCCAAGAGCGCCCCAAGAGAAGGCCCAAGAGGCCCCCAAAAAGGCCCAAGAGGCCCAAGAGGGCGCCACGACGGCCCAAGAGGCGCCAAGACGGCCCAAGACGGCGCCAGGACGGCCCCAAGAAGGCCCCCAAAGGCCCCCAAGAGAGCCCAAAGACGGCCAACGGCAGCCTAGTCTCTTCACCCCCGCAGCCCAGAAGCTCCCAGGAGGCCCCAAGAGGCCCCCCAAAAAGCCCCAACAGGTCCCCGAGAGGCACCCAAGAGGCTCCCCAAGAGCCCCCCAAGAGGCCCAAAATACTCCCAAAGGCTCTTAGCACCGCGGCTCCCAAGAGCGAGCGGTGACGTAATCGAGCTGATAAGACCAAAGCTCCCAACAGAGAGCTGCGGCGTAATAAGTTCTTGACGCCAGGGCACAGGGACGGGCGGCAACGCGTGGACAACGAGCGGTCCACGCAAGGAAAACGCGGGGTTCTTGAAAGCTGGCAGCCCAAACGCGGAAAACGCAACGAGACCCGACCGCCCCCTCCAAAACAAGAAACGCGCTCAAAGAAAGCTCCGCGACTCTCTAATTGCCCTCCCGCCTCGTTTTTTATCGAGTAGGACGGCCTTCGGGGCTTAAAAACAGCGTTTCGCTCGAGACATCATCGGAGAACGCTTCTTGGGCGCTTCTTGGGCCGTCTTAGGCGCCTAAGACAGCCCAAGGCGCAGCCACGGCGGCGCCCAAGACGGCCCAAGACGGCCCAAGAAGCGCCCAAGACGGCCCAAGAGCGCTCCAAGAGAGCCCAAGACCGCCCAAGGCGGCCCCAAGACGTCCCAAGAGGCCTCCACGACGCCCCAGGAGGCGCCCACGAGGCGTCCCAAGAGGGCCCCAAGAAGCCAAACTCATTGATCTTCGTAAGAAAAACGTGGATGTTTAACATATACGGCTGTTCGCCTTTCATGGCGTTGAAGACGGTCCCAGAGGCCCCCAAGACCGCCCCAAGACGGCCCAAGATGTTCCCAAGAGGCCCCCAAAATAGCCCAAGAGGGCGCCGAGACGGGCCAAGAGGCGTCCAAGACTGTCCAAGAGGCCCCCAAGAGCGTCCCGAGAAGGCCCAAGAGGCCCCCAAAAAGGCCCCAAAGGCCCAAGAGGCGCCAAGACGGCCCAAGACGGCGCCAGGACGGCCCCAAGAAGGCCCCCAAAGGCCCCCAAGAGAGCCCAAAGACGGCCAAAGGCAGCCTAGTCTCTTCACCCGCGCAGCCCAGAAGCTCCCAGGAGGCCCCAAGAGGCACCCGAAAAGCCCCAACAGGTCCCCAAGAGGCACCCAAGAGGCTCCCCAAGAGCCCCCCAAGAGGCCCAAAATACTCCCAAAGGCTCTCTTAGCACCGCGGCTCCCAAGAGCGAGCGGTGACGTAATCGAGCTGATAAGACCAAAGCTCCCAACAGAGAGCTGCGGCGTAATAAGTTCTTGACGCCAGGGCACAGGGACGGGCGGCAACGCGTGGACAACGAGCGGTCCACGTAAGGAAAACGCGGGGTTCTTGAAAGCTGGCAGCCCAAACGTGGAAAACGCAACGCGACCCGACCGCCCCCTCCAAAACAAGAAACGCGCTCAAAGAAAGCTCCGCGACTCTCCGAGGCTGAGATAGGACAAGAGCGAGGGGAAACAATAAGAGGTGTAAGAGCGGACGAGCCAGCGATCTCGTGCGCTCTGAAAGTAAGTGCGCTTTCCGTCCCCGTGCCAAGCAGGTCTAGTAGCCCCCCCCCTTTCCATATCCCCCCCTTTCGTTCGGGCGGACCACCCGCAAAAGTGGCCCACATCCAGTGGCCGCGGAACGGCCACAATGCCGCTGCGGGCTCGGCACCTTCGCCGCTGACGTCGTTCAATAGACCACACGTTGGCACGGGTGCACATGCCTGTCGATGGACAAGCCCAGAGATCCGATGTCGTGCTTTTTGTTCAATTCGGGGTCCCCAGAAGTCTCGACCCATTCCCCAGAACCGGTTTTTCATCCTGAATCATTTTTGACGGTCCCGAGGCCCGGTAGGGGTCACCGGAGGCCGAGCACTGCGAAAAGCCTCCGTCGTGATTTTGTCGGTGCGTTGGATCTCTGGGCAGGCATGGTAATCGGGGTCAGTGATCCGCCCCTCGTGCCTGGAACTAGGATGCGGCTCCCAGTTGATGGACATGCATGCTGCCCTCGTAGAGAGGACTCGCCAGGCAACGAGAATTTCGGCCCACCTCAGTGGCCGCGAGATGGCCTCACTGCCGTTGCGGGCGCGGCAGCCTCCGACAGTTACTGCGTGGTACGCATCGGCAGGAATCTCGCGGAATGTCGGTGGAAGCTGGTGGGAGTTATTAATGGATATCACTTGGTGGGGCCTCTACTCGTCCATATGTATGTTGCGTGCAGGTTCGACACCGTGTCTGGTTCGACTTCTGCGTCCGGTTCGAGTCCGGTTCAGGGGCCGGCAGCCTCCCCCACTGGGGCTTCAGTGGAAACCGCGTTGGTTTGGATGGCCACCCCCGTCGATGGACACGCACTGGCACCCGAACGCTCTTCCCTCATGCTCGGATGCCCATGGCCCATGGCTGTCGATGGACAGGCATGGGTATCCCATCCTCGCCATGACGGCATTGCTCGGCAAATGCAATTCTGGCCCGCACTGGCCGCGGGACGGCCACTTTCTTTGCCGTTGCGGGCACTGCACGGCCTGTTCGTCATACCATGTCGGCCTGGATGCCCATCGGCCCATCCCTGTGCCTAAGGCTAGTATGCCAGTCCCTTGTGCCTAAGGCTAGGATGCCAGTCCCTGTTGATGGACCGCCTCAGCGGCCGCGATATGGCCGCGCTGCCATTGCGAGGGCCCTGGGGACCTGACCAAGGCGGAACGCCTCCAGAGGATCCCTTTCCCCCCAGGACCCCTGCCCTTCGTGGCGAGAGGTGGAGCAAGAGGGGGGGCTAGGAGGACAGGAGGACGAGGACGAGGAGGACGGGCCAGGAAGAGGATGAGGAGGATGAGGATGAGGAGAAGGAGGAGGAGGAGGAGGAGCACGAGGCCGGGGACGGCGTGGAGGACATCCGAAACTCACTCCCCCTGGCCAACCCTCACATCTGGCCCTGCCCTCAGGTGCCCTCAGGGGACCTGGGGCCTGCCCCGAACAAGGAGCCGTCGAGAGAGGGGGGGGGGGGGGGGGCAAACGGATGCCAGCACACCGGGCCCGCCCTGGGCCTCTCCAGTGGTGCGTCCCGGCAAGAGAACTGCGAGGCGCATGCCGCCGCGGAGGCGACGGTCCCCGAGGGGCAGCGGTATGGGTACAGTATAGGAACTCGACCACGGGAAACTTTCCGCAAGAAGCCCAACCTCTTGGCATGGGAACGTCACGCATTCCACATCAAAGCCCATCGACCGCAGGAAATCTTCCGCGAGACACCCAACCTCTTGGCAAGGAACCCCAGGGTGTACATGGATCTGTGGCATGGGAACGTCCCGCATTCCATAGCAGAGACATCGAAGCCCAAGAAAAAGCCAGGGCACCCTGGAGGCAAGGAGGGTGCTTCTTGGCATGGGCTTCCACTGTATGTGTTCATCCTCTGGGGTCGATCGTCCTCTGAGGTGTCGACCCCCCCCACTCAACAACCCCTCGACAGGTCACCGAACAGACTGCACTGATATAAATATCTGCAAGAGAGACAAATTAGCAACACGCGCTCAAGGTGGCACAGAAACGAAAAAAGGAATGGGGAAACAACCGGGACAAGAGATAGGTCGGGCATGTCCCCATACATGCTGATGTTGGACGACAACCGAAACATTGCCAAAGCATACTCCAACCATGCTCAAACATGCTAACAACATCGTCCCCAGACTATGTTTGGATTGTTTTTGAATAGTCCTGCCCTAGAAGGACGCGCCCAACTTAAGACACGAGGCAGAGAGCGGCGGCGAAAGTCCTCGTCCCCTCCCTCGTGTTAGTTGCTCCCATCGTACTTAAGGACCACATCCCAGAAATAATTTCGAGCACCCGGAAACGCGTCGTAAGAGTGCCGAAACAGTGTCGGACGAGTGCCTCCCAGGGCCCGGCACGTGAACACCCTCGAGCTAGTGGGTGCTGCTCTGGTGCTCGCAGCTCTTTCGGGTGATAAAGGCTAAAGTAGGTTGAACAGCATAGCCCCTCGCTCGGGGGCAGCTGGCGGGAGGAGGAGGAGGAGAAGGAGGAGGAGGAGGAGGAGGAGGAGGAGTAGGAGGAGGAGGATGAGGGGAATGAGGGAGGAGAGGAGGTGCCTCCGAGCCCCTCGCTCGCACGGGGGCGGGGGGGAACCTCCGCGCGCCGCGGGGAGCAGGCCAGCAGGCACGCGTACTCGAACTGCAGCCGCGCCGAGGGGCGGGCCGACCCCGCCTGGGCCGAAGGGGGCTCCTCCTCCTCCCTCTCCCTCCTCCTCCTTCTCCTCCTCCTCCTCCTCCTCCTCCTCCTCCTCCTCCTCTTCCTCCTCCAACTGCCCCCCCCCCCCCCCGAGCAGGAGATCGACCACAAGTAAGTCGGGCGTGCCCCCCTACAGGCGGTTTCTGGACGAAACA